AACCAGACAGACCAAAAGGAGAAACGTGCCATGATTCAGTCAGAAGTCAGTGGGGCAGAGGAGAGTGCAAGACAGGCTAGAGCAGTAGAGATGGGAGCACAGGGAGCATGGACTACATGGAACTCCATAGACAGGAAGCTGACTTGGGAAGACATATGGAAGTACGGCTATCCTTTCTTATTAGGTCATGACCTCTTACCCTCCCCAGCTAATCTCCACCGGTGGGGACTTACAACGGATCCAGCATGTAACCTGTGCGATCGTCCTGGCACTCTGGAGCATGTCCTTTCTTCCTGTTCCACTGCACTGACCCAGGGAAGGTACCGATAGCGTCATGACAACGCCCTCAGGGAGGGGGCTGACCGCATTGAAGGTGAAGGAAAAAGGAACGAAGAAGTAACCACAAGCTTTGTCACATCAACTTTGTGAAACCGGGTGAAACTGCCAAGACACAGTCACCACAACAACCATCAATTCTAGATGGCACAACAGGTTGGAACACGGAGGTGGATCTTAGCAAGAAGCTTGTTTCCCAAGCATTGTCCAGACCAACTTAAGATCAGCTATTGTGCTGTGGTCTAAAAAAGAAAAGAAACTCATCATGATTGAGTACTTTGGGAGACAAGATGTGAAGAGGCCTACAATAGGAAGAAAGCCAAGTATACAGAGCTACTCAACCAATGTAGACAGAGAGGCTGGAAAACATGGCTGTTTCCTATTGAAGTTGGTGTGCGAGGGTTCTGTTCGCAATCTGTGTGCCGACTGATGACAGCGATAGGAACTACAGTAAGGGATAGACGTAGGACAATTCAGAGACTTGAGTCAAGCTGCCGAGCGTACGTCTTGCTGGCTGTGGCTGAGACGAAAGGAGAAGAGCCGGAAGCAATCGACCAATGGGCCCACTCGCCAGCAGATATACATGGATAAGTGCCGAAATATCAATGACGGCGAGCAACATGCTGATGATGGAGGTCGATCAGCAATCTAGAAGCACAACAGACAGGAGATCTACAGAAAATCTACATAAGGTGCGTTCCAGATTGTATCTTACTCACCTCACATAAAAGAATCCAATGTCCCTGACAACATGTCAGGATAAAAAACTCTTATGAACAAGAGCCAATTGTTTTTTTTTTTGGTGGATTTTACATAACGTCAACACAGTATAGGTCATATAGCGACTGTCCAGCTTTACTGGCATACAAAGACCTCACTGGCTAGATTACATCCGTCAAGACTTGCGTGACCCAAGAGGGATGTGGTTTGGGATTGGGGGTGGAGTTGTGGTTTTTACGTTGCACCAACGCAGTAAAGGTAATTTGGCGACTGTAGAGCCTCTGACGTTCTGTAAGCTACCTGGATAGCTTCCTCACATGAAAGATTCCAATGTCCTTAGCAGGATTCAAGCCCTCAGCGGTGAGGGACAAGTATGTATATGTATAAAGTCTATGCTTAAAGAGGATCCATTCTCCCTTTCGGGCACAAAATGCAGCTTTCGGTGTCGAGTACAGACCCTGCACATGTCACCAGTCATGCCCTTAAAGAGTTAATTGTGAAGCACAAAACTTATCTCCATGCAATTTTCATGGAGAATAAGCCAAATATATGAATTTTCAGCCAAAAGTAGGTCACTGTACGGCGGTCCATGAGAACCTAAAAAATATATGGTAACCTGTGACAATATGAAAGGTTAGCCCTGAAAAGGGCTGTTTGTGACAGCAAAAGGCCTGCCGTTCAAGCCGTCTAACCGTGCTAAGGGCTCACGCACCTTGGCACACCATCCTCGTCGACTCAAGCGCCTACTTTGTAGGGCCACTCCCCTCGGCATAAGTCAGGACACCGGCAGCTAACTTCATGCAAACTTAGTCGTGCTGCCTTATACGTAAACCCGAGCTGTAGAGGACATGCGATCTTGCCGCCTTAAACGTAGCATTGGTTCTTCAATCATCTGCCGATGCCCTGTGTCTTCTCAACGACGTTCACGTACCGAGGGGAAGAGAGAAGTTATCTTCTATGTACAATTGTGACGTCATATAACAGGATACACTTTTGTTACATTCAGATGAAGTAAAAACTCTAACAAGATGTCAGAAGACATATTTTCAAGGAACTGATATTTGGCTGCAATAACTGAGATATACATGAAGAGTGACAACAGGCTTAATCATGGTGAGTGAATGTGTAATTCACTGTGTACACACTGTGTTGATAGATGACCATAGGACAATGAGATAAAATAGAAACACAATTCTGCTGAAATGGACAGTTGTGTGTGTATGAAAGTAAAAGCAAAGAAGAATGTGTTTGGTGAACACCAAAGCCCCCAGCCCAGATTCTTGTCAGGAATAATTTTTTAAAATAGGTTTACCCATTTTCTTAGTTATGCAGAGAAAAATTGTCAAAAAATTTGTAAACACAGTTATATAAGTAGATAATGGAGGTCAACCTCGTAGCTATATGCCCGGGGGCACAAAAACTTAAGCTTTCAAAAGGAAGTCTCAAAATAGGCTGTTCTTGTCAGAATATTTTGAAAAGAAAAGACGACAAAACAGTGTTTCACCTGTGCGTTTTGGGGAACAGACAAAGCACTCGCGTTCAAAGTGACAAGACGGACAAAAGCCCTCCCGTGAAAATGGCTGATTGCACAAAAGCCCTCCCGTGAAAATGACTGGGTGGACAAAAGACCTCCGTAAAATTATTAAGGAGGACAAAAGCCCTCGCGTAACAGAAATAAATATAAATGTTAAATACTTCCTTTATTTTCAAATGCACTCAACATATTAAAATTGTAACATATATTTGTTGTTGATTTCAATTAGCCTAAGTTTGTGTATGAGCTAAAACCACCTTTCATTCAGAATATACCCTTCTGAAATGTCTAACGAGGTAACATTTTACACGAAAGTCTTTAAAAACAAAGTCACTTTCATACAAACACGCTTATGCCAATGGAAAACAAAAATATTCACTATTATAATTTTAATATTGAGTCTAATGAAAAGAAAAGAAGTATTCTAAATACATATATGTATTTGCCACGGGGGGTGGCTTTTGTCCGCATTGTTATTTTCACGGGAGGGCTTTTGTCCGCCCAGTCATTTTCAGGGGAGGGCTTTTGTCCGCCTTTTCATTTTCACGAGAGGACTTTTTGTCGGCCTTGTAACTTTTGCAGCCGTAACTTGCATAGAACAGGTCTCATCCTAGTTTTCCAGTCCCCTGTAACATTTTTGATATTCTTTTTAAACAACTCTTTACACTTTCTGGTGATTTTTGACGCGCAGGCATGTCTACGTCCCCGCGAAGTGTTTCATATCAACGGAAGATAGATAGATAGACAGACAGACAGATAGATATACATTGTATAGATATATATATAGATGATTAGCCTTGCTCTATCAGAAATTAGGAACATTTTCTTTACATATGTATTCAAAGACAAAATTCAGACAAGTTTTCATTATAAAAATACTTTATTTATTGTTTTTTATTCTTGCATTTAATTTTAACAAATGTAAATTGTATGAAGCAATAACTACATTATACGTAATAAAACTTGTGACCTCTAAACTAAATCATGAATACTACACTAGATCTACCCTAATGATGTAATGAAAAAAATACATTAAAAAATAATTATATTATTGAAAAAATACATTATGTGACAAAAATGTCACAGCAGTTTGAACCTATAATTATTACTTTGATGTAAATGTTTAAACTGATTAATAAGACATCACCTTCAACAAATATACATGCATTATGGGTATAACATCTTGATAAACAATACATTTATAATGACTGAGATATTTTCTTTTCATGATCACGAAAAAATCTTTCAAAAGTGTTGCAGATGATAAAAACTATCTTATAACAGTGTCATATTATGGATCTTCTTGGCAACTTAAGATGTTTATTTTTTTCAAACTCATCTTTCCAAAAGGATAACATATAATACTAGAAGTAAAACATTCTATAAATTAATAAACCAAAATTTCGTAAATATATAAAGAAAAAACAATAAAAATCACAAGGTTTTTGAACATAATTTCTTGAAAATTTAAAATCTTATCACACATTACCAGATGATTCTTCCATAAACTTGAATTCTTATAAAAAAGCAGTTTTATAATGAACTTTGTTGATGCATTTTTGCTAATTTGTTAACATGGTGAGATGAAACATATATCAAACTTTGAACATTGTGAAATATACAATAGTGTTTAAAAGCATGCTATGTTAGCTTATTCTAAATCTGAAAATATTGAATTCAAATTTAATAACAAATCAAACCAAACATTTAATGTTGACAAGCATGGAATGGAATTAATCATGCAAAAATTATGTTGAGAAATCGGAGGTAAAAAAACAAAAGATAATGATGATAATGACAACAATAATGCAAAATAACATACAGTTATATATTATCATAAGATAATGGCCTAAAGTAAACTTTCACAACCAAATGGCACAAATTTTTACACTGGATTATACAAACCTTTTTCAAAACATATTGATTATTGTGACACTCTTTGTTCAATAGAAAAAAAATGGTTAAACAGATTTTTCAGAAAATAAATTTTCAATCTACTAGTGAAATTATTCCATTATTTAATATTTGCTTGCATAGTAAAATTGTCTTTACAACAGAACATCAAGTGTATTTTTTTACAATAGAAATGCACAATATTTAACAGGCATACAATAAAGTGTATAAAGATATATATTCTGCATGTACTTGAAAAAATAATCGTTCCAAAATACTTATATGAATATGAGAAATATGTTTGTATATTTCCTTAATTGTGGATGACATGTGCAAGAAATCAATGCTAAACGTTTTAAACTCTACTTAAAATAGCTGCATTATATATTGTTGTTTGCAAAAATCATTCATGTGTGTGAAAGACACTTAATGTCCCAAGAATGCCATTGTTTTCTTTTTTTAAAACTTTTCCTTCTAGGTGTTCTGTGAAAATATCAAACAAAAGAACTTATTAGCATGATAAATGAACTGTCATTTACTTAGTTAATATAATTTATTATTCTGTATTAAAGTCAACATTTTGCTAACTTTATTACACATTTAGCAATACCTATTTCCGATCTAAAACATCTAATATACTTAAAATCCTCTATAATTTAGACATTCTGATGAAGAAAATCATTCACTTCTGAGGCAAAAAAAACATTCATTTCTGTATCATAATGTGCCTTTTAATAACATTGACATTCTGTATTATAACTCATTGATGTATTGACCATAAGAGTATGGGAACAACATAATGTTAATGTTGATAGGTTTTATAAATATTTCATTACATATACATGTAGTTTATTACACTATAAAGGTTTTAGTTCATATATTTTTCATTACATATACATGTAGTTTATTACACTTTAAAGGTTTTAGTTCATATATTAAAAACATATCTTTCTATTGCATTTAACTATAAGTCATTTTACGAGTATTTACAATCTTCGTATTTATAGATATAATAACCTAAAAAGATTAAAACAATATTATCATTTTCCTAAATACATGTAAACAATTGTCTAATACATATTGTTTTATGGAGCAAATCATATTCATTGAGAAAATTTTATCAAAACTATAACAAATAACAAAATGTTATAATAAAATTATTCCTTGTTTTATAGACAAACCAACAGGAATTTTACAAAACAAAACAAAAACAGAAAAAAAAATAGTATAAAAATATAATAACAAAATAACATAAAGAGGAAAGAAAGAATATTCATACTTTAAACTTAGTGTAAACTTACTATTGGGTTACAAGTTAAGTCAATAAATGTAAATATTTTACAGTTCTCTAAGGCATATTAATATTTTCTTTCCCCATTACATTATCATCTAGATTATACACCCACTACTAGAGGCCCACACCCTTCTTTATACATTTGTATGTACATGTATAGATCTTATTTACATATTTTGGCATATATTTTCTCCCTTTCCCATTTAAAGATAAAACGAACTGTACAAGTATCAAATATATGCTTTTTTTCTTATCATGGATCAAGACAAAAGAGCTTTGCCTCAAATCCATTTTTTTATAGAAATTAACTACCCTGAACCCTCAGAACTTTGTCCGTTGTTGACATTCAGCAAAATCTTAAGAACTGTGTAAATGTTTATGTCTGATCAACCATAACCTTCTGCAGATTTTTAATGACCATGAATTCCCTGAAAAGTTATTTGATAAGTCTTTATTAAATTAAATGTACTACACATCCCACCAAGAGTGACTTGTTAATCCAACAGTTCTGAGAGAGAATAGAAATAAGAAATAGAAACAAATATGTCATAACATTGCACCTGACTACGGAATTCGATACTTTGAATCCATTTAAATTAGTAAGCTGGACAATGTTAAATTTTTTTTACACCTTAACTCACTAACTTAAACCATGCAATTTCCTTTGTAGGAATACAGTGCATTCTACACTGATGACTGTGTCACCAATGACCAACATAATGGGGACAATAATCCTCTGCAAACAGACTTGATAAGATGGCTAATCTTTAAAACCAAAGTAAAGAAAAACTAAAAAAAAGTATTGTAAATTATGGCAAATTGTTGCAAGAATTTCAACTTCTTTTCTTTAAGCAAGCATGGCAATTTGAGGATTCAAAATGCTCATGATGATAATTCTAAACAAGCAATGTACCCCCAAATAATGATTTTGCAAATACACATACTTTAATGCGTGTACTGTTTCTAGCTTAAAATATTTAGCAAATTAAGTTCTGTAAATTTTCTGCAATGCTTCAATTGAAAATAATGCTTGAAATATGTACTTTTCTTATATGCATTTTTTTACAAAATTTTTGCTGATGACTTTCAGTGACCATGATATATTAAGTTCATTCCAGATCAAATTTTAAAAAAAATAATAAAAATCTCAGTCTTGCAAACTTAAATATTGAAAATCAGTGACAAAAATCTTTATTATATAAAAGAAAATTGAGGATAAATATCCTTTAAACTGCATTATTAATATCACAACTTTTTCATCATTCACTAATTCTATTTTAGAAATATATATATACCTATATAATATCAATATATTTATGATATATGATTATATAATAACTTCATTAAAAATGAATAAAATCATCTTCTATTATCAGTTTCCCTCATTTGGATCTTTCTTTTTATTTTTTTCAGTTCTTTCTTGTAAACAATACTGAAAATGAACTTCAGACACTAGTGTTTTACTCAAATATTTTTTTTTTCTAAATAACTTCACATCTCAAGATTATCAAGTGTGTTTCAAAAGTTGTAACTGTTTTGTTTTTCTTGTCCAAGTCTTGATCAGGGAAAATCTCAAGCTTATCACAAGTCATCTCAATATCTCAGCTGTTTTTTGCCAATATCTGCTTTGTTAAGAACAGGGGTAATCTCAAGGTTGGCAAGAATTTTCTTGCCTAGTGGAGACATGGGTGTGGACCTCGAGGCCTGTCAATGCGTCTGCTGTGGTGGTAAATCCTCAACTTTAACATGTACAAACACTAAGGCCTGTTCGTATTGGTCCCCATTCTTATCAAACAGCGGGAAATGTCTGTATCCTAGAAATGAAATCAACAGATTGAATAGCTAATGCAAAAAAAAAATCATTAACATGTTCAAAGATAAAAACTTCTAACAATGTTTGTTGGGGTGCTTTTAATACTTTATAACAGAAGCAAAGTGTATCAAAAACCTATAATAGATGTAAAGTGTATCAAAACCTGGTTTATAATTATGAAATGTTCAGACATAAATAAAGTTAAAACACTTACCTTCTACAATACTGTTGACTGGTACAACATAGTAACCTATGAAATCGTCAACATATCTGTCACTGTCATACACTACAAACCGTACCAGGGCAAGTTCTGGGACTTCAATATCAAATAATAGTCTCTCATTCCATACAGGCTTGAAACCTAAATATAAGAGAGATCTTAAAAATATAATAAAAATTAATATATATAGAAGGTACTGAACGAGTGTAAGTGCAATACTGAATTATTGAACAAGTTAAATAAAATTATACATTGTAATATGAAAACTCCCTCTAATGAGGCATTTTTACATCAAATGTGTGTGATATTGAAACACATATACAATAGTAATAGTTAAATAAAATAGTAAACAAGTGTTGTTGTTGTTGTTGGGAGTCAGTCACACTGTAAAGGTAACATCATTCCAGCTTTACTGGTGGTGGAAGACCCAAGATGAACCTCTGTGCACTAGTTCAGGCACAAGCAGGCACCTGAGTAGAACCACAGACATAAAATACATGTAAACTATATTGAGAGTTTCAAAGTCTCTGGCTATATTCCAACCAAAGGCAAGCGACTTGAAGTGAATAACCTTAACAACTTCGCCACAGATGCCCTTAAAAGCGTTGTTGTGTAACCTTATTACAATTCTTATATTTCTTTGTAAAACCATTTAATTAACCATTTTCTGCAATATAGAATGAATTTGTACAATTATGAATTCAAAACTGTATATTGTAATTTAAAGGACTTTCCAAAACAAAAAGCTATGATTGAATCTTGACAAATGGGACATATACACCTGTGGTATAGGCAACTCATTAATGCAACAACCAATCAAAAAGTATACATACCATTATTTTTCACAACTGCTGTTTTCTTTCCCTGAGAATCTCTTTGAACACCGTGTATCTCCACCTTTAAGAATGGGTCAATTATCTCCCCTTTCTTTGAATCTTTTGGTTTAGGGAGCTGGAAACCGCTTATAACCTAGACAATGACAATACTAGATTGAAGATTTTGCTAAAATTGTTATTAAAGTCAGAAATCTTTTACAGTAAATTCTTTGTATTTGATACCAATGTGTATTACATACAGCATTTAACAAAATAGAAGAATCATTAAATATACACATTATAGAAAGGACCCACCAAAGTGGCAATAATTTACCAAAGGGTCATGATTTATGTAACTTTTGTAGAGGTCAACTAAACAATGCTGCATGCCAAATAATTTAGCTCTGTGCCTTGCAGTTTCACACATGACTTAAATGTTTTTAATAAATATAAGTATATTAACCAAGTGCCCCAACCCCCCCCCCCGGGTTGGGCAAAAATTGACCCAAGGGGAAAACTTCTATTTATCAGTTTTGTGGAAGTCCACAAGGAATTGCTACATGCCATACATCTAAGCTCTGATTATTGTACTTTCATACAGTAAGAATTAAATGTGTTTTCCTCTATAGAAAAGTCTATATTTACTTAATGACCTCGGGTTTGGACTAAATTGACACAAGGGGAATGATATATATTAGTTTTGTAGCGGTCCACAAGACAATGCTTCATGCCAAATATTTTAGCTCTAGGCAATGAAGTTTCACACAATAAGACTTATATGTTTTCCTACATGAAGTCTATATACATGAACTAACCCCAAGGAGTTACCAATTTTAATCAAAGGAGGCCTAAACCAGGGTTCTGAACATTGTCACATTATAAGTAAAATTCCTCGGCCTAATAGTTTTAATTTCCTTCTTTCTGTTTAAAAGATATAGAGCAGACACAAAATTTAAATTGTAAAATTCATACATACATAAGCATGTAAAGTTGAATTGTCTTTTTATATAAGAAAAAAGAAAAACTTGTTTCAGGTTAACTAAAGTATTCTTATGTAATAATTCGAACTGATATTTTTCTGTTAATAAATTACCTGAATGATCAACCTTTTCCCTATACAGGGTTTTGTTCCCATTACAGCCATGAAACCTTCATCTAAAAACAAACAAAAATGAAATGTCATTAACTAACCTGTTTAACCTTTACCATTCTAAATATCTTAGATGGACTAGTCCATCTGACAATCTGGACAAAACCATTCATCATGTTTAGGTGAATTTTCAAAAATAAGTACTGACTAAATAGCCAACAGTGTAAACCATGAAAACATGGCATGGATGTGCAGGCTAATCTTGGTCTGCACTGGTCACATGCTGCCCTCCCCGCCCACATGCTAAGGGATAAAGACAATGCAGCATAGAGCTTAATGCAATGCTTATTATTCAACCATTAACATATTTACAACAGCTGCACAACTGACAGTAAGCTTTATTATGCTTAAAGCTTAAGAAAATGTAGTAAAAACCAAAAGCCATGCAAAATATGTAGGAGTTTAATAAATTGACTGAAAAAAATGTCATTAACTAACCTGTTTAAACTTAACCATTATAAATATCATAAATGGGGTAGTCCATCTGACAATCAGGACAAAACCATTCATCATTTTAGGTGAATTTTCAAAACTAAGTACTGACTAAATAGCGAACAGTGTAGACCATGAAAACATGACATGGATGTGCAGGCTCTTCTTGGTCTACACTGGTCACATGCTGCCCTCCCCCTCAGGCTAAGGGATTAAGACAATGCAGCATAGGGCTTAATGCAATGCTTATTATTCAACCATTTACATATTTACAACAGCTGCACGACAGGCAGAAACGGGTTTTAACAGTACGATAAGTTGTTCTATATTTTACCAACTACTGACGTTGCAATAAATTACCATTTACCAGACTTCAGACTTTGTTTATCCCCCAATCACAATCACCAAAGATGACAGTATTCGTAATTGTTTCAATACATACTCATTACTAAATAGAGGTTTAAACACAGTGTAACCTACCTGACTGTAGACACGGAGGTTTCAACACATAACCACTGTTGCCATTGTCAAGGAACCGGCCATGTAGCAACTGCATCTCCTCGCCACCAGTTTGGAAGTTCAAGGCCACTAGAATTAAGCGAAAAGTTAATACATATAAACATTTTTATGAATCCTTCAATCATAAGATATATTTTAGCACACATCCTTTTTTTAAATCTTAATTTGCTGTCATAACATTACTTCTATCTTGGTGTCTAAAATAATGCCGTAAGTTGAAAGCCAAATTTTAGAATATTGGTAATATAGAGATTGATCTGGATAACAGTATGCAAATCAATGTTAATAATTGGGGAATATTTAAAAAAGAATATCTAAAAAGAGAAACACATTTTTAAAACAAGTTAATACAAAGTAAAACATTTCAGTAACCCAATGCCCCTATCAGACTTTAACCAAAGAGTTCTTAGTTCCCCGAAGAGTTCTTTAAAAGATTCAAAACAGATCACGACATTTCCTTACAGTTCTACATGATTTTTGAATAATTATTACCATATCTAACTAACAATGAATAATTATTACCATATCTAACTAACAACTTACTCTTTTTGAATAATGGCAGAGATAACATTACAGCAGTTTGTAGTTAAACAAACCTGTACATATTCCAAGTCTGACAAAACTTTGTACTGTTTGACTGATTAATTTTAGATTTTTCATAATTTTGATACCGAAATCCTTTAAAATAATCATGGACAAATCTAGATATAAAGCTGGACAAGTTCATTATTCTAATACAGGGGGTTATTGTGTAATACATACCAACTTGGCATCCTCCACACCACATTGGTACAGGATTATAATTGCTGGAGTTTGTTCTTGTACCGTCAGGGTAAGTTCGTATTAACACTGACCTCGTGTAACGACTTACAGCATCAATCTCGCTGTCCAATAATTTACTGATCTTCTTCTCTACCAGAGACACCACAGTGAATTTACCTTTCCCTATTAATCATATAAAAACAATATAATAACCTGATGATGATAGTTCAAAGTTTTTAAAAATGATAAAATCTTTATATCATGACATAAAAGCAAGAGTTAAATTCCCATCTGGACTAACAGAAAGTTTTGAAAGTTCATTTGGTGTCAGGCAGGGATGTCCATTATCACCTTTATTATTTTTGCTATTCTTAAATGACCTCATAACATGAATATATTACATGTGGTGTTTGTGGTGTCACTCTGTGAAATACATTTTGACCTTACATGCTAAACAAACAAATATCCTCTATAATAACATATAGTTATATAACTTTAAAACCTTTATTGTAAATTATTAGTTATAAAGAATTTTGACATGTTATATGGCCATATATAAATGGTTGTTTGGAAATATAACCTCAGTCGCAACAGTTTATATACGGCCATTAACCTGACAGGAATATTTATAACAGTTTTGTAATATAGCAAATTTACTTTTTAAGGGACAAAAGTGAGATTAATTCATATACTGACAGCAGCTGTGTATATAAAACTATTTAAACATCACGCTTATCCATTGAAAAGTGATGTTACAAACGTGCAGTATTATAAAATCGCATATAATCTAATAACATTATATATACAGTCAAATATCACTACAGTCATATACAAGTACAGACCAACATAGATATAATTTCAATATATTTATTCACCTGAGGGTATCTCCTGGGTATTGGTAAAATGAACACTCGTCATTCCTACAATCTGTGACAATTTTTTACTAAGTTTGAGTTTTTTCTCTTTCTTTTTCTGTTGCTGAACATTGTCATTTGCGTCTGCAGATTCGTCTTCATCAGTAACCTCCTCATCTGCATCAGGCTGTTCAGCAGTTATTTTCAATTTCTTACCCTACATGGTAGAGATAGAATTAAAGGAATGAGAAGTAATATTTTATTAGCATACATAAGCAAGTATGGTGGGACCAATAACTTGCCTTTACTATCTATGAAGTCTGACAATATTTTTTTATTTTTTGGTAGGGTTATACAATGCCCAACATTGTAAAGGTCATATGGTAACTTTCAAGCTTTACTGGTGGAGGAAACCTCAGCTTCCCCTATGTGCTTTACTTCATGCACCTGAGTAGAACCAGCTATAAGCAGGCTGGATAGCTTCCTTACATTACAGAATCCAAAGTCCCTGTTGGAGATCCAATCCAAAGCTTTGAGGGACAAGTGTTTTGAAGTCAAATACCTCAGCCAAACAGCCATGGACCACCCTCTATTAGGTCTTATCTTAATGTAACATATTAAAGAAATTTTTTATGATATTTATCTCAATTTTGGATTGATAAAATAAGCAGTATTCAAATTAAACATTTATAAGTTACGTAGCAAGATCACTATTAAAGAAATGCCAATTTCTTATTCCATCCTGACTTAATTTTGATGATTTCAAATACAAAGATACAAATACCTGTATTAAAAGATGACACAAACATGGCATTATGTATGGCACTTATCATTGTAAAAAAAATTCCCCCTAAAATTACAGACACAGAAATTGAAAAAAAAAGAATCTCACCTTGACAAGAATTTTGTTTTTCAATTCATGAGGGGATGGTGCGACTTCTGGCAAGCTGTCATAATAATGTAACATGTCTGAAAATAAACATCTCTAAAATTAATCTATGACTCGAATAAGGAGTTTGCTTCTCTAAATAAAAATACCTAGGTTCCAGAAGGCCAATAATGCTTAAATGAGAAATGGAAAAATAGGTAAAAACTAGAAATGTGTCCATAGGACACGGATGCCCCCACACGCCATTGCTCTGTCAATCTTATGACTGTAGGTCAAATATTTTTTGGACTACATGTGCCACAAGTTGAAAACTAAAAATCAACAAAGGGCCATAATTCTGTTAAATTTGGTCGCAGCAAAATCTCTCCTTTACTACCATCTACACATTAAGGTTGTTCATCCCTGGAAGTTTAAGCAAAATCTGCCATCCGGTTTAAGAGGAGTTGCTTTCACAAAATTTCTACATAGTATATAGGGAAAAAATCAACAAAGGGCCATAATTCTGTTAAATTTGGTCGCAGCAAAAATTCCTTCCTTTACTACCATCTACACATTAAGGTTGTTCATCCCTTGAAGTTTAAGCAAAATCTGCCATCCGGTTAAAGAGGAGTTGCATTCACAAAATTTCTACATAGTATATAGTGAAAAAATCAACAAAGGGCCATAATTCTGTTAAATTTTGTCGCAGCAAAAATTCCTCCCTTTACTACCATCTACACATTAAGGTTGTTCATCCCTGGAAGTTTAAGCAAAATCTGCCATCTGGTTAAAGAGGAGTTGCATTCACAAAATTTCTACATAGTATATAGTGAAAAAATCAACAAAGGCCATAATTCTGTTAAATTTGGTCGCAGCAAAAATTCCTTCCTTTACTGCCATCTACACATTAAGGTTGTTCATCCCTGGAAGTTTAAGCAAAATCTGCCATCCGGTTTAAGAGGAGTTGTGTTCACAAGATTTCGGGACGGTCGGACGGACAAGTGCAACGCTATATGCTCCCACTCTGTGGGGGCATAAAAATTTCAAATGGTTAGGTGATTCTTGACTCTAGACTTATGACTAAATGTTAATCTTCTGTAGAGAACCACCATTAGACAATTCTGCATATCAAATTATTAGCTTTCAGAGGACCTCTATAAAACTCAGTCTCCCACGGTTTGGCAATTTTTGACTCTGAGGGCCATGATTTACATAACTTTTGTTATAGAGGTCCTTCAAGGGCCATGATTTACATAACTTTTGTAATAGAGGTCCTTCAAGGGCCATGATTTATGTAACCTTTCTTATTGAGGTCCTACAGTCCTACAATTTTTGCTACATGCCAAAGCTGACAAGCTCCAAGTGTTACAGTTTTGTTACAGTTAAGTTGATAAGTTATAAAAACTTATTCCCACAAAAATCTATATAACACAAATACCCTAAGGTCACAATATATTTTATCCAAAAGTATAAATAAATGTTAAAGGCAAGTATACAAGTTCACACACCAGAGAGCTTACCTTCCAGCTTTGTAGTTGAAGATGTGTGGCTTGTTCTAGCATTTTACTTTTTGTAACAAGAAATCCTTAGAGTGGGTGCCAAGTTTGACTCCCAGAGTAATACATAATGTTTGTAATAAACCAATGTGGCTCACACTGATGTAAGTGCTACACATATAAACTCCAGATGTCATAAATGTTATGAAAAAATCATACTTTGTCTCTATTAAGATTCAACCCAAAACACAAGTGACAACACCTTCTTTCTTCTCTTCTATGATCTTTTTAGCTTTATAATCATTTTTTTTTTATCTTTTTTTTCTTGAGAAGGAAGAAAAATGTATTTCATTTACCTCCAAACACTTCAACCATGAACTCTGCCATCTTATTTTGCTGTTCAATGGAGCAATGATTTTCTATAGACAATGTAACGGGATATCTGAAAGTATAAGAAGGGTTTTTGTCACAAAAACATATGTCTCCCAAAACTATGTCACTCATGTGAAGTTTCATTGAAATTCCACCAGTAGCTTGACCTGTGAAAGCCAGAAAAGATTTTTGGCTCTGATGGCCATTTTGTGCAGAAAAGCGGAAAAAGCTGGTATTGTGCACAACTAGAGATGGTACTGATCACTCCTGTAAGGTTTGGTTGAAATCCCACTAGTAGTTTGACCTTTGAAGGCCGGACAAGATTTTTCTATTTTTAGTTCTGGCGGGATAGACAGACGACGAAGGCAAAAACAATATGTCTCTCAAAAATTTTGGTTAACATAATAAGATACGCATGTGCTTGATTTAGAAATCTTCCTTGATAATGTTTCAGTTATACAGCTGACAGTAACTACAATGCAAGTGGTAGCCATAAATTTTCTTGAAAAATTAATTTCTTGGACAAATTATGTTAAGCTTCCATTTGGAATTGTCCATTAACATTTTGGGGATATGAAGATAAGAATTTCAAGTTGGTAAGACTGATAAGACGAAGTGGCAAAGGTTAGGTATTTTTGGTTTCAGCAGTGAAAGGATTAACTTTATAGTGTTGTTACACTGAAGTAACATTATGCAGTTACAATAACATGATTGTTCATCCAGTCATATTGAAACTACAGCATCAGTCCTAGAACTATCCCATAAATACTCGGGTCAAAACAGGAATCCAGTTAAAAAATGGTCTTTTGGTATTAGCCTGCCCAGGCATCAAAACAGATATCCAACTTATGTATGTTTGCTTGGAAACCATCTGACAAGTCCTAAAACTTTATGCCCAGGAACCCACTTGATCCATTTTAATAATGGTTTTTGGTATGACACTGCTAGATCTCAAACTGGTCACCTAACATTAACGGCTGGTGCTCTTACACTAGATTACTTAACCCCAGTCTCATAAAAGAAGATAAATGGAATATGTTATAGAATATCTGAAGGTAACAATATAATGAGGTTAGATTATAGATGGCTGGATAGCTTCTTCACATGTAAGATTCCAAAATTCAGATATGCAGCAATGTTGGGCATGCGATTCAAAGCCAGTGACTGTTCCCAGCAAACATAACCATTTAGCCAACCCAATCAGGACCTTGGCATTTTGAGTACATGAATTTGAGACAACTTTCATCTTGGACAAAACAACTTGTGTTTTTTTATGGAAGTCGTGGCTGATCTAATAGTTGGCAATTGTCTCATGGGTAAAATATGATGCCAACAGCAGGCTAAATGTTAATACAGTAAACTCTGCTTATAATGATATTCAGGGGACCCCCAAATTTATATCTTTATATCCGGATATCATTATATCCGTGAGACAATCAAATTGAAAACAAATGGAGACCATGGCAACAGTATCATTATAAGCGGTATATCATTATTAGCGATATTGTTGAGTTTATATATACACTGTACTATCTCATCAATTAATGAACATGTTGTTATCAAATACATTTATAACACGGGGGTTTCAAAATAATATTAAGTTACTATTGAAACTAGGGATTTACTTACGGTGAAGTGACAAATGCATAGTCTTTTACAGCTTTGATGACATCTAGGAATAAAATTTTTGATGTTAATGTATAACCATGGTAAATGACTGGTTCCCCATCATTTCCATCCCAACAATCCACTGAAAATATAAAATGAATATATATTGAGACTGAGGCAATGCAGGTACTGTTAATGTGTTAATAGATTGACTTCTGAACTTGTAAATAACTTGTCCTGATTTGTATTATGACTTAATTGTTTCATCTATAATTGTTTATACACAAAATATGAAAAAACCAAAGGTAAAAAGTGTTTATACACTGTAGGATTGTGAGGGCTGACTAATAGCTATGATCTACGTACTGGCATAAAAACAAATGGCAATTTTTAAAAGGAATTTCGTAGTTAGCCAAATACTAGCAGCTATTTCAATTTAATTTTCTTCATTCAGTTCTTTTCCAACCTGTTCCATTCCAATATTCACCATTAATTTCAATTGAGCATTAGCAGCCAAAGCTTAAATGGTTTAAGACAGAATGTCTTTAAACAATATTACTGCATAAAATAGTACTGAACTCGCAAAATCAGCAGTGACTTTGTAATTAAAGGCAATGATCAAAAGTTAACATCTCACATCTTAATCAGTGTTATCTTTTTTATCCAACCCCGCTTTAATTGTGCAACAAGTTTGTCCTTTCTTGAACTCGAACTGTCTAAAGTCCATCCGAGAAGTTTTGACAACAAAATGTTGATATGGACATACGCAAATAAGTCAAAAGATGTGTGTTGCCAGACAGCATAGATGATGCAAGGTGGCCTGGATTTATATTGTACTTAGCTTGTACTGAAAATCAACACCCTTTTTGAACCTGCTTGAACCCAAAGTGATCCACCTTTGCCACCTGTATAGAGCCAGGGAACCATGCAGTCTGACCACATTTTACATTGTTAAAAGCTGAGTTTTTGTATTGTGATACTGAAATCCCTTTTAACTTCAAATGGACCGTTCCAGATTCAAAGCTGGGCAACAACATTACACAAGTTCAGCAGGTAAAATATTAACATCTGTAAATATTCAACTTACACTCTACACATCTGCATCCTCTTTTCAGTGCTGATATGTAACACTCAACTCTACTTGGTCCCTTAAGTTGATCTTCTGCTAAATATCTGCATAAAATAATATTTATATGTTGCTACTAAATATCTGAGAAAAATCAAATACAGGTCAAGACAAATTTTATGACAAATTACAAATACGATTCTGACAAATACATCAAAACACATTGTCCTTTCCATATTTAATTTTGTTTCTTAGTTAAAATATTCATCTTAATTATCAGATTCTTTATCAACATATAAGCTTTTAATACAATCACTTGTGGCAATTATGATCAATACTTAAACTTGATTTCAACATTATTCACTTAAGCTTGATCTAGAAGAAAATGTGTCCCTCATTTGGACCACGCTTGTGGCAACTTCCTGGAACTAACCAGTACTGGTTGTGACAGTACTGGTGACCAGAGTAGGACTCAAACCCTTGATATCTGGGTTGAAAAGAAGCCATCTAAATCACAATGCCACCATTCTATATGCTATTATCCTTGCATAGAAAGGAAATGCATACGCAGTCAACACAATGCAATTGTCAAAATTTAGCATATAGAAATATTTTAATTTTATAAAAATCATCTGTTTTGTCAAAGAATTGGGTGGTCAGTAGCACAGCTATCTATTTACTTAATATGGCCAATCAGGGCCTGACATAATAGGTCATTGTATTGTTGTAAAGAACATTACTTTCATATGTGTAACATGATTACATATGCATTACATATGCATTATGCTTATAAAAGGCACATACAAAAATAAAATGAACCTATAGTTATGTCTTACAAATATATAAAAACACATACGTGTAATAAATTATTATGGCCTATGTGTGTAATAAATAATTATGGTATGTAGTGTAATAAATAGTTATGGCACATATGTGTAATAAATAGTTATGACACATATGTGTTATAAATAGTATGGGAAATAAGAGTATTTCAGGCAAATATTATGCATTACAGATATTTAAAGGCACATATGTGTTATAAACATTAAAGGCACATACGTGTTATGAGATGAATTCATGAAATAGTTTGTCATGGGTTGCGTCATATCTTGATACACACGCCGGTGACTTCGGTTAAACAAATGTTGTTGTTGTGACACCAGGAAACACCGGAAACCTGAAATATACATACACACTATAGGTGTTATAATGTTCACTTATATTTTAACATTATATGCCACATAACTTTCAATAATATTTATTCTGTAACACCTAGTGACGATTTAATTATTAAGACATACACACATAACATATAATCATATTTATTTTGGATACTGGATGGCAATTTAATTATATCATAAATATACCAAAATTGAGCTGCCAACATTATAGAGCCAGGTCATACTGCACGAATGTGTAGGCTGACCAATAAATGGCCCTAAACTCATGGTTGCTTTGGTTTACTGGGCAGGAACCAGTTTCCGGACAGAATTGGAGTTTTTTTAATTGTCTATTTTTTAATAATAAACATGCATTAATAAAACGAACATACCAAAAACCTTAGCTCTAACTACATCCGATAACACAATTAATACTGCCTGGTGACGTAAGCAATGTACAAACTGAAGGGTTAAATTAGGTCATCAAAAGTGTAAATTGTTCACTCTTGCAGAACCAGTTTCCGGACATATATTAAGCTGCTATTCATATATGTCTTTAACTGATAATTATTCTAATATAACAAAAAATTTCTTCTCACATATTAGCTTTCTTATATAATTAAGCTGATTTACCGAAAAATGATTATGATAGAAAAATATCGATCACGTGATGGGTCTCGGGATGACTGAAAAGTGAAACGGATATTTTTGTGTGTACGACAGCAACGAAGTGGGAAAGTGGAGTAAACCTAGCTAAACACCGTTTTCCGATACGTTACAGATTTAGCTCTGGGGGTTACACCCAATGAACTTCGAATGAAGTACATTGTACATTAATTGCTACCCCAAATTATATCTCGAAATAAACAAAATATTGCGCATGCCCAGAACAAATTACATGCCCTAAATGGATTTAAGGCTGTTTTTAAAACACAGGTAAGATATTCTCACGAAATTTTAATGATGTATCATTTTGAAAGGAAGTTTATTTTCTCAAACAATCAAACTAAGCATCTTCATGACATATAATAGATAAAGCCAAAATTAAGCCGTTATAATACTTGTCCGGAAACTGGTATTGTCCGGAAACTGGTTCCTGAAAAGTGGCGTTTAGGTTTTCTGAAGGTTAAATATGTTATTGTAAGATAAATCATTTTATATACATAGGTTACAGGGCACTATTTTTAAGAAGACTTAACAGTGATGTGATGCACATTTCCTTGGTAATACTACTGAAATACTTAGTTTGAAACAGAATAAACAGAACAGAATTGAGCCGCATCATGACAAAACCAACGTAATGCGTTTGCGCCCAGCATGGATCCAGACCAGCCTGCGCATCCGCGCAGTCTGATCAGGATCCATGCTGTTCGCTTACAAACTTTATAAGTAGAGAAACTGATAGCAAACAGCATGGATCCTGATCAGACTGCGCAGAGGCGCAGGCTGGTCTGAATCCATGCTGGTCGCAAACCCACTATGTTGGTTTTGTCGTGACACGGCTCAACTGTTTTTCCAACAGAAATAAAAGCTGAAGGCCACTTTAAGCAAGTTAAGGGTTAACTGAACTCACCAATGAGACTCATTTTCTCCGCTTTTTTCATTTCCGGTTGAGGTTCATACACTACAATAATCTCCTTACATCTCTCTATAGTTACATCAGTCTCCTGAAAATAAATAAAACCCATTCACAACCATATGGAAAAAAAATTCGGCAAACACAAAGTTACGCCCATGAATTGCTTGTGTAACAAATTAAAATTAGTGGTAAATACAAAATTCTAATGACTAATAATATACATGTCTATACTTAAAAAGAATACTACTTATATTATAAGTGTGATCCCCAAAGGAGTTTGCAGTCAACAAAATAGTTATCAAAAATCGCCTTTGCTTGCAGGTAAGTTTAATTGTCCCATTATATACCATCAAACCCCTATATTTCTTTAAATCAAGGGTCTGATGCAAATTTAACTGAAAGTTTCCATTGTTCAAGCTAGAGAAAACAGTGAACTTTTTTAAATATGAGTTCATAACATATTTGGCCTATAATTTGTAATATAGATCTGTGTGCTACAAAAGCCCTCTCAGATTAGTAATCCAATGTTTGCTCTGGTTCGATTCAAGGCTGACCAAACGTGATACTATTAGCTGCTTCATTTAAGTACCAGGTATATTATTTACATTTTGGTAGACAATGCTAAAATTTAACAAAATTAATAATAGTTCCAAAATAGCAAAATTCATGTTCAAGGATAGTACTCTAAAAAGTGCAAAGCTACAATGCCCAATACACCACCCCCTTCGCCTTAGCATTGGTTTAAGAAGTTCCATGTTCATAGTGGTAAAATAGTCTATTAGTGGTAAAATAGTCTATTACAGAGAATAATCACCAAGTAAAGGATCAAATACCTTCTGGTCTTGAGTGAGGAACATCTGTAAGTCTGAGGATGTCATGTATCCAACATCTTTAGCATACCTGAAATAAAGTCATTCAATATTCTATCAATTTTATTTATGTTATTACTTGTGACAATAGTGTGAACATATATCCTTTAACATTTATTGGTAACATATCCAACATAAAATAAGTTTGAATGTTAAACAAACTAAAAAGTGTGAACATATATGAAAGTGAGATTGAATGTATTGCTTTAAAATGAAAAGTGTGAATGAATCCTTGTAAGATAGAGTGTGAAATTAATGTTTCTTTTTTAAATCAAGTGTGAACAGATTCCTTTCAAAGTTAAAAGTGAGAATGAATCTGTATAAAAGCAAATAACATGCATACTTTTCCAGTTTATAAAAGGTCTTTTACACAAGTTCATAATGTATCATGTGGAATATTAATATTTATTTCTATATCAATATTTACTCCCATTAGTGATGTCAATTAGACATAAAAATCATAAATTGATCAAGATCAAATACTGTATGATCTCATGTTTGAACAATATAACAACATGACAACAAACAATAATAAAGTTGATAGAAACCAATAGATCAGAATGAAACAATGCTATCAAAGTGTTTTCACGTCAATTTCACAGTATGACTTCCATAACATTATATATATCCTTAAATGATTGGCCAATTTCAAACACATTAGGGGGCGTCCGTGGCCGAGTGGTTAAGGTCGTTTACTTCAAACCACTTGCCCCTCACCGCTGTGGGTTCGAATCCCAACAGGGACTTTGGATTCTTTTATGTGAGGAAGCTATCCAGCTAGCTTACGGAACGTCGGTGGTTCTACTCAGGTGCCCGTTCGTGCCTGAAATAATGCACGGAAGGGCACCTGAGGTCTTCCTCCACCAGTAAAGCTGGAACGTCGCGATATGACCTATACTGTGTCGATGTGACGTAAAACCTAAAACAAACAAAACAAACAATCAAACACATTATTAGTCATGCTAATTAAAAACAAGATTGCATTTGTAAAAAATGCTATGCCACCGCATAAATACAACACTAAAATAGTAATGTAGGAACAATTTTTTTTTGTTTTGACACAAGGGCTTTAATTTGAATAATCTTGCTAAAGTTTCACTACACAATGTTTACTGCAAAATGTCTCACCTCTAGCCTTTGTCAATTCGAGAAGGTGATTTTTTAAAGTTTTTACTATATACATGTAAAGAAAACCTATGACCCCGGGGCAAGGCTAGTTTTGACACTAGAGGCAAAATTTGAACAACTTTGGTAGAGTACCTATAGATGATATCATATACCAAATATCAAAGCTCTAAGCCTTGTACCTTCAGACAATAAGATTTTTTTTCTATATGTACATAGTGAAAATCAATGACCCCTGGGGCGGGCCAATTTTGACTCAGGGCTATAATTTGAAAATCTTGGTAGAGGTTCACTACACAATGTTTCATCAAAATATCTAACCTCTAGCATTTTTCAATTTCGAGAAGAAATTTTTTTAAAGTTTTTACTATATACATATGAGGAAAACCTATGACCCCCCGGGGCAGGGCTAATTTTGACACTAGAGGCAAAATTTGAACAACTTTGGTTGAGTACCTATAGATAATAACACATACCAAATATCAAACCTCTAAGCCTGGTACCTTCAGACAAGAAGGTATTTTAAGTTTTTACTATATGTACATATAGTGAAAATCAATGACCCCCGGGGCGGGGCCGATTTGGACCCCAGGGCTATAATTTGAACAATCTTGGTAGAGGTCTACCAGACAATGCCTTATGCAAAATATCTAAGCTCTAGGCCTTTTGGGTCTTTACAAGAAGATTTTTTAAATTTATTCTTATAATTCCTTTTGGTTGCCATGGCAACCAGAATTCTGCATGGAATGAAATTCTTTGAACAACTTTGGAAGGCCTTCACCCAAGGATCAATCCTGCCAAGTTTGGTTGAAATTGGACTAGTGGTTTTTCACAAGAAGATTTTTTAAGTTCACTATATAATCTATATAACACACACACACACACACACACACACACACAAACAAACACACACACAGGTGAATCGCTATATGCCACCGCATCGCAGATGCTGCGGTGGCATAAAAAGAAAATTCTAAGATTGGACAATATTCATATTAGAATAAAAACTAGCATTTTCTTTAAAGAACAAATTTTTGAACATTCAATTTTTTATAGTTACTGTACAGTATATAGAATACAAAATTTAATGTATATATGTAGCTTTTATTTTTGCTTGAAGTACATTTTATATGCCCCTTTGTAGTTTGTTTGTCACACAGACACAGTCAAGGTCATTTGACTTTCCATTTAAAATCCTGGTCACGGCACCAATGTGGACTTGGATACTATGTTACAGAATGGTTATCAAGTTAAGTCTAGTTTATTCTTAACTACTAATGTTTCATGCTTAATAACATCATGGAAGGGACATAACTCTAATAACATCATGCATACTTTGGTGTCATTTAAAGGCACATATATATTACATTGCTCTTTCTGATGGAGATTCCTCTATTCATTATTTCAAGGCAAAGTTTGCAACTACAGACAAACTAACTGGATAACTGTGGATAACTGGACAACCAGATGCCATGATAACTCAGTGCATTTAAGCTAACAGAAATAAAGGGTAAGAGATTCAAAGTCAATGACTTTGTCCCATTTGGATTCATAAAAAAAAACACCAGCTCAAATATGTCATTAATTCACACCATTTACTCTATAAAACCGATTGCATTGTCACAGAATAAGCTGATGTTAACAAGTAAGCATCACTCCTGGGAATTTTTTCGTCATCGCTGTACTGGTCTCCTTATCAACACAGTATCACAATGTTACCAATAAACCATGTATTCATTAAGTACGTCAATTAATTTTCGAGAAGACATCAAATATGACAGCAATATATGAATGGTTAACATGTTTGTACTGACTGTTTACATATCATTCTATTGTAATACACAGTGTAAATACAATAGCAATATTCCCCTTTGGGATAACCATGATAAATGAAGCTTTCCTAGTACTTTTTTTCCAATCAATACGATGGTTTTCGTAAACCCTTCGTCAGTTATGGAAAAAAATATGTCAGAAATCTATACAAAAAAAATTTTTTTTGAGCCTATTGAGCAACAAAGAATTATCACATGCAATATGTTTCCTATACTGTATTACAAAAAAAAATAAAGTTATTATTATGCAATATCTATCTTTTGTTCTATATAATTCTAAGACTCTACAGGTTTTTAACTATTAAATGCTATTAATTTCATAATATAATCCAGTATAACCTCTTTAGCAACATCATGTACACCATGCAATTTACCCCATCCCCCCCACCCTCTGCCTACCCCCTCCCCTCCCAACACATACACAAATTTAATCATGGCCTAATTAATTCAGCTTTATAGCTAGTAGAGAAGATTTAGCTATATGTTATATTTGTAGCTTATTTAGTATACATAACACTCAATGCCTTTGTATCAGACCATATGTTTCCAAGATGCTATTGTTTAACAGCAGTGACAGTATAAAGTTACAATTTCAATGGTACAATGGTAAGAGGGAGTAAAGATTGAAATCAGAAAGTTAATTCAATTTTATGGCAAGACATCAAGACATTCTATATTCTGTTGAGCTTTGTTGTATCAAATACAAATGTAAAAGACTATAGCTGATAATGAATTTAACTGTTCTCTTCTACACTGTTAACTGTAAAACCTATGTGACTCAAGTATATTAGTATAAATGGCAATTCTATAATTTGTAATTGTACCATAAATTTCTGAAAGCAACAAGTATGTAGAATTTATAACTGTATTTTTACTTGCATGAAAAATTTGTTACTGTATTTCAGATTCTGCGTAGAATTTGTAACAGAATTCAAGGTTCTGCAAATTACTGGCATCTAGAATTTGCAACTGTATTCAAAATTGTATCAATTCTCTGGCATGTAGAAATTGTAACTATATTTAAAGTTATAAAAATAATTTGATATAACTACATCTTAAAATGCAGAATCAATATCTTGATGATTCTTAGCAAAAATATTTTGGAATTAAAAATTTCCAATAAAAAAATCTTCTCAAGTACATATACAGAAATATATTTGTTAACTTGATGGCAATTAAATAACTTTATATTACATTGTATTACATATACTTTTCCATTATTATGTACATGCATCATAATTCTTATATTATTTTCGTTATTACAGATTGACATGAATATTATACAATAAATATTCATGTTGAAACATCTGGGATGTTTTGTATTGAAACAAAAACAGGAGATGTGCTTGATTTATTCCTTAACACGGAACACACTTTTTTGTTTTAAGCCGACTTGATTGACAAAAAAAACAAAACAAAAACTTCTGAGTATTTATAACGCTGACAACCAAAATCTTACAGTCAGACGAAAGGATACTACGTTATCTTGATAATAAACAATGCAAAAAAATGAGATTAAAATATCAGTCAACTTTTATCAAATTTCATGCTGTTAAAGGGATGAAAAATGCTGTTAAAGAGATGAAAAAATCTACGATATTTGCATAATAATTGTATATTACCATATATAAACTTGATATATTCTTATCGCATCAAAATATCTGTTACTATTTCAACAAATACCCATTATTCTGATGAATACGCTAGAATACTTGATTAAAATAATTAAGAATCAAAGAGAACCATGTTCAACATGAAAAACAGATACTTTTTCAACTGCTGACTTTAGTAATAACTGTCCTTTATTTCTAATGGCATATTTAATTAGAATACAGACTCAGGGAATATGAGATGTTATCATAGAAAATCTAAATTTGTAGGATTATCACAATTAATATAAGTGATTGTAATGTACAGTACAACCTCAACAAATGTAATGTACAGTACAACCTCAACAAATGTAATGTACAGTACAACCTCAACAAATGTAATGTACAGTACAACTTCAACAAATGTAATGTACAGTACAACTTCAAACAAGAGGGCCATGATGGCCCTGAGGTCGCTCACCTGTATATAGCCCCCCCCCCCCCTAAACATCTAAGTTCTAGCTCATTGGGTTTTTTAAAAGAAGATTTTTTAAGTTTTTACTATACACATACAGTTAAAAACAATGACACCCCTGGGGCAGGGCCAGTTTTGACCCCCGGGCTTTTATTTGAACAAACTTTGTAGATATTTACTTAAAAATGTTTCATGTATAATATCTAAACTCAAGCTATTTGGGTTTTTTCAAAGAACATTTTTAAGTTTTTGCTATACACATATAAGGAAAATCAATGACCCCCGGGGCGGGCCAGTTTTTACCCCAGGGCTTTTATTTGAACATACTTGGTAGACACCCATTAGAACATGTTTCATGCTAAATATCTTAGCTCTAGCTCTTTGGGTTCTTTAAAAGAAGATTTTTTAAGTTTTTACTATATGCATATAGGGAAAATCTATGACCCCCTGGGACGGGGTCAATTTTGACCCCAGGGCTTTTATTTGAACAAACTTGGTAGACATTCACTAGAAGATGTTCATGTCAAATATCTAAGCTCTAGCTCTTACGGTTCTTTAAAAGAAGATTTTTTAAGTTTTTACTATATGCATATAGGGAAAATCAATGACCCCCCGGGGCGGGGCCAATTTTGACCCCAGGGCTTTTATTTGAACAAACTTGGTAGACACTCACTAGAAGATATTTCATGTCAAATATCTTAGCTCTAGCTCTTTGGGTTCTTTAAAAGAAGATTTTTTAAGTTTTTACTATATGCATATAGGGAAAATCTATGACTCCCTGGGGCAGGGCCAATTTTGACCTCAGGGCTTTTATTTGAACAAACTTGGTAGACACTCAGTAGAAGATGTTTCATGCTAAATATCTTAGCTCTAGCTCTTTGGGTTCTTTAAAAGAAGATTTTTTAAGTTTTTACTATATGCAAATAGGGAAAATCAATGACCCCCTGGGGCGGGGCCAATTTTGACCCCAGGGCTTTTATTTGAACAAACTTGGTAGACATTCACTAGAAGATGTTTCATGCTTAATATCTAAGCTCTAGCTTTTACAGTTCTTTAAAAGAAGATTTTTTAAGTTTTTACTATATGCATATAGGGAAAATCAATGACCCCCCGGGCTGGGGCTAATTTTGACCCCAGGGCTTTTATTTGAACAAACTTGGTAGACACTCACTAGAAGATGTTTCATGCCAAATATCTTAGCTCTAGCTCTTTGGGTTCTTTAAAAGAAGATTTTTTAAGTTTTTACTATATGCATATAGGGAAAATCAAGACCCCCTGGGGCCGGGCCAATTTTGACCCTAGGGCTTTTATTTGAACAAACTTGGTAGACACTCATTAGAAGATGTTTCATGCCAAATATCTAAGCTCTAGCTCTTACGGTTCTTTAAAAGAAGATATTTAAAGATTTTTCTTTCGGTTGCCATGGCAACCAGAGTTCTGCATGAAATGGAATTCTTTGAACAATCTTGATAGAGCTTCATACAAAATGTATTCCTGCCAAGTTTCATTAACATTGGCCTTGCGGTATCCTAGAAGATGTCCTTAGAATATTTAAAATGTGGACGGACGACGGACGACAGACGCCATTTGGTTGGCCATCCTAAAAGCTCACCTGCACCTTGTGCAAGGTGAGCTAAAAATGTAATGTACAGTACAACTTCAACAAATGTAATGTACAGTTCAACCTCAAAAAATGTAATATACAGTACAACTTCAAAAAATGTAATGTACTGTACAACTTCAAAAAATGTAATGTACAGTACAACTTCAAAAAATGTAATGTACAGTACAACTTCAAAAAATGTAATGTACTGTACAACTGTAAAAAATGTAATGTACAGTACAACCGCAACATATGTAAAATACTGTACAACCTGAACCTAGAGAAATTACCTCTTTACAACATTTTTAATTATTCCCAATTTAGAACTAACAATAAATTGTAGAACTTCACAATTAATTAATCTCTCTAAAGCAACAACTTCTCAACAACTACCAAAACTTTTGTCTCCAAATGTCTCTCCAAAGAACTAAAATTTGTGGACTGCTTGTTTTTCCAACAGGTAAAATGTAAATAATGTGATGCAAAATAATCTTACAGTAGATAAAATGAAATTTTGTAGCATTTTAAAATCGTGAATTGACCTTTCCATGAAAACCGCGAAAATTAGTTCCCCATGGCCATGAATAATAATGATTTTGCAGTATATACTGAGTAAACTAGTACTTGATAACTCACTTTACGTATAACTCCTCGACTTCCGGTCTCTCGGTAAGTACAGTGTAAAATTGTACAAACTCTCCTCTATCTAACGTAGGTTTTTCTCCTTTCACCCTTCGACAGTCAGCTGCCTGCAAAACAAAAATGCTTACCATATTGACAATCCTTTCAAATACAGAAAATGAACATAATTCAGATTTTTTTATGAAATAACATTAAGTCGGTGAACCGTCTTGAACAGTCTTATCATGCTGATCAGATGATCAAATTCAAAGTCCCTGTCAGAACCCACAACTGTGAGGGTTTTTGAGTGGTTTAGAGTCAATGACACATGTACACCCCTGCCATAAGAACAGTGCATAAGCAGTGTAAGGAGTTTCAGTACCAAACTCACTTAATCATATAAAGCCTAGTCAGACTAAAACATATGTGCTTAATACTGAACCAACTCTGCTAGTGGCATAAGTAATTCAATATTTTCACTAGCATTTAAAAGGTTTGAGGTTTTATACTTTACAGATAATCTCCCTAACTTTCAATTTCTTGTATCTTTCACTATGTATGTTTAAAATGATGCATTTACATTCTTTTTTACTCATATTATATAAGTTACAGTTGCCAGAAACAGGTTTAAGGTCATGACCTTTCAGGTTCTACAACATGACAGAACCTATTTCTGGCGTTTTTATTTTCTTACATTAAAGAATACAAAGTCTTGAGTGGTATTCAATCTACTTTGACCTTCACCACTCAGCCATTTAAAAGGCCCCTGATAGATTTACATAGCAGTCAATAAAATATTTTTCAAACTTCAGACTTGCTACCTATTATAAATTCTAGAAAAAATCTTGAGTTTCACATACAAACTTATGTACAACATTTAAGATATGGATTTATGTCTAAAACCCAATTTAACATCAGCTCATAGGAAACTTTACAACCAAGTTACATACATGATGGATCTATGACCTGTTTAAGTCCTCTGAATATACAAACAAAAATCTTATATATTCAATATTTTAACAAAACTGACAAAACTACCATTCCAAATTACTCACCTAACATGATAATAACATGCCATCGTAAGAATAATTTGTTTCAATGTCAATATTTAGGAGATTACTTTTTTAAAACAAGTTTTAAGCAAACACATTAACACTCCCCCAATTGAAGGTTTACCTATATCAATATACCTATTTGAAGCACTTTGAAATCTCTCTGTTGAATATTTAAAAAAAACACTTTCATTCAAATAAAAGCAGTCAGTTCAAAATGTATCTAAAAATGAGCAAGTTTTGCCTTTGTCATTTAACTGTGTCAATTATCCCTATAAACCGACTTTATAAGGCCAAGGTAGATTAAGGGCCTTTGTAGGGCCTGAAGTTGAATGTTGATATTTAAGAAACTTATTAAAATTTTACTTTGACTACAAAAACAAGGAGAAATATCCATTGCAAAACTGTCATAAGGCTCGGCCAAGTTACTGCTTACAATAATCTTAGAAACAGATATTTCTGCCTGTTCCTACAGCTTGTATATGTACTTGTATGAGTTTTATTGCCTATCAAATACATTACTAATTATGTTTTATAGCTAAATAACATAATCTAATATTTTCATTCAGCACTATCTTTTTCCAGCAGACATCTATATGAATTTATGACTTTCTTTTATATCAGCATTGGAATGATTTTACTAAAAGCACTCCTCTTATCATATAACCTATGATGTGTTTCCAACACAAGTGCTAGCTAACTCTAGAAAATCCAGTCAAATATGCAAGAAATTTGCTTCACCTCAAATGTAGAACTATGTATTTTTCACTTACATTAAACATTTCCCTGACATATCCTCGGTCCATGTCAGCATTTAGGCTCTTTAACAAGGTCATGACCTCTTCAAAGTCGAGTCTTTCGTCAGCATTCTTGTCAGCTCGGTCAAACGCCTCACAGATCCAACTAAAATTACATATAAAACATTTATTATTGAAAAAGTAAAAATATAGGACAAATTTTCATGTAATTTAGATGCAATCGATTCCGACCACACTCAACAAAATATCTAAAAGGTTCTTCTATTAAGAAGGCATATCTTTTTATTTAACGGAAGCAGAAGTTATTTTGGTATGTAAAAAGTTTTCAAAAATGTATTTTTAATTTTTCCAGAATATTTTTACTAAACCATTCATCTTATCAGTAATCAGCAAGCATCACAATAAACTGACAATAACTGGAGGCACAGTGAAAGATTTTACTACAATAACTTATTGATATTACATTAAAACAAAATTATTTATGACACAATTTCACTAACACCTCTAACACTTCTAATTTGCCACAAGGACAGAAATCACTAGACATACATTATGCCTAACAATATCAGTACACTCTTTGTGAACTCAACAGAAAGAGTACCCTCTTTGTACACACACAGTGGTCATTCTCTGCTGAAAACAAATTGGTAACAGACAGCAATCCAGTGAATGTTTTTTAAACTGAAAATAAGGAGGTTTTGTTTGTTTGTTTGATTGGGTTTCATGTCACCCTGACACAGTATAATTATGTCATATGGCGACGTTCCAGCTTAACTGGTGGAGGAAGACCTCAGGTGCCCTTACGTTCACTATTTCAGGTACTAACAGGCACCTGAGTAGAACCACCAACGTTCCGTAAGATAGCTTGATAGCTTCCTCACATGAAAGAATCCAATGTCCCTCTTGGGATCCAAACCCACAGCAGTGAGGTGCAAGTGGTAAAAAAGGAGGTAATTAAGTTGTGTGAAAAGGAAGTACACATAGATTCAACCTGCGTTTACTTACAATTTGTCCGTTTCTTTCTGTTTAAGGAACTGATTCAGCTGTAGAGCATATCTCATCCCCTTTACCCACTTGTCTCTAATGTCGTAATTCGGTGCCAGCAAATACAAGACGTCATGGTTCGAACCAAAAACCACACAAAAAGCTTTCCCTCTCTGTAAAACACAAAAACAGCAAAATGTTACATATAATGTATAAATTATCATGTACTTTTTTTTTTGGATACCTTTTACATTTTCATTTCAGAAACTAATGTTTAAGGTTTAACCAGCACTTAAGTATCATGAGAGAAAAATATTTATATTTCTCAAGTACTGATGAATCCACAATTCACAAATTGACAGGCAGAATGAATTTCCACTGAGCAACTATAAAATTATATAATTATATATATTGCCCTTCTTTATATCTCATACCTCATAACTTGTTGTTTTCATAAATTTTGCTCCTTTTTTAGGGAATATCCTAAGATTTCAATTATTTGAGTTTATTTCAAGCATGCTGTAACAATTATAAAAGGTAAACAAAATGGTACAGTGGCCTGATGGATAAGGTGTCTCCCTCTAAATGCAAGGTTTGCCAGTTTGATCGCGAGATCTACTTAGATAACACCCATGTTTCATCATTTGACACCGGTCAGCATCAGATTCTACCCATGCAACAAGTGTAGACCAAGATCAGCCTGCACTTGCCTGCCCTCTGATCATGGTCGGCAATGTTTACTAACTCAGAGAGAACTTGTTTCCAAACTTTCCCTAAAATAACGAATGGTTTTGTGCAGATAAAAAGATGGAAAATTCCATTTAAAGATATTTAACAAGAAAGGGTTTACCTAAAAGCTATGAGGACCTTTTTTTCACATACAAGCATGATTAAATATTCAGCTTTGTGCAAAATACAAAAACAACGTACATGACATTGTATCAGTATGTAATATTTGTGGAACATACAGAAAACTTATGGTTTAAACATTTAAACACACCCTGTACATAAATTTTGCCCACCGTTAAGATCAGTTTACCATGCATTGATAAAAGACTCACTGAGCTGTCATTCTCTAACCTTTCTATATATAAAACAGTTTACAACAATCTCACACTCCAACCTTCAACGCTTCAATACCTATGAATATGTATATGTTCTTATTTGCCCTCACGTCCAGATAAAAGGCATTATAAATTAGCCTGCGTTTATGCAAAATGATAAATATTTTATGACGCAGCTTTTTTCCTTTTATGTATCTTGAGAATAAAGTTACGCCTTTACTTTCTTTTCCTAATCAATCAAAATTTAATTATTTTATAGATAAGCAGAAAGGCGTATTGCAATATGGCACCTGATAACATCAACTTGTAATATTAAGAAAAGAAAGTGTTTTTTTTTATATCTTAGATTCGTTATCGATTAAGTCATTACATTATGTCATTTATTTATACCAGCCTGCTTTATACACAGCCAATTTTTATGAAAGTTTGCTGGGCTTAATTTTTTCAAGTTACACAGTTATTGTGATGGTCATTTATACATAGCTTTCCTTGTGACCTTGGGTGCCCCTCTATGCACTTGTTTCTTCTTCTCTAATTTTTTTGGTTTTACATTGCACCAACACATTATTGATCATATGGCGACTTTCCAGCTTCACTGGTGGAGGAAGACCTCACAGGTGCCCTTCTGTTAATTATTTCAGGCATGAATGGGCACTTGAGTAGAACCACCAACGTTCTTTAAGCTTATGCCGGATAGCTTAACTCCTCACACAAAAGAATTCTAAGTCTCTCTCAGGATTAAAACCGGCAAGTGGTTTGTTTAGTCAACAACCTTAGCTACTCCACCATGGACACCCTTGACCTCTATGCAATGTTTCAAACATGACCCATCCCCTGAGTGAGAACCACTGACCATTCAAACATCTGCATAGCTTCTTCGCATGAAAACTAAGTACCTAATGTCCATACCAGTGCACAGTGGTGTCAGGAAGAAGTGAATCTTTAAGTCAGATACCTAAACCATTTGACATGATGAAGGCTCCCTTCATTAAAGAAACTTACAAAGAACTTTTTGTTTGGGATTGAGATGCTTGATGTGTGTTTTGTGAAAATAAAGAGGAGAGAAGAAAGAAAAATTGGCCTCTCTAAAAAATAGTACGCACAGATGACTTCTTACATTGGTCAAATGGATATATCAGTTGCGACAAAGACATATAATAAAGCTCGATCTATAACATGTTTATATTGTACCTCTCTTATGTTAAATGCACTCCAAACTGTGCATACATAAATGTCAACGTGTTGAAAAACAGCATAAAACTTTGCCAAAAAGGCCAACATGCCAGTTTTTAAAGTTACGAAGTAAAACGTTAAATGTATCGTAAAATGTTAAATGTATCTTTAAAGCTGTACTAAAATATGCAGCAATCCATAAACTTATCTTGTACCTCAAAAACTAAATGCTGTGATACATACAAAATTAGTTTAAGTATTTTCTTTAATGATTCAATCTTTAAATTAATCATTAATTTTATTAGACCTTCCATTTTAAGTTTTGCACACAATTTATTGACTGCCAGAGATAACTATATTAAATGGAATCCACTGAAGTTGTATTTTTTTGGAACTGAAAATATTTTGTCGAAATTAATATTCCATTTGATGTAGGTCTAGAACAATAGTTAAGATCATTAAATTTTGCTCACTCCATATTTCAAGATTTATTTATCTAATTGTAAAAAAAAAAATGCTCAAAATTGAAATATATTGCAACGTTTTTCACTCAAACCGGGCTAAGAACAGCAAAAACTAGAACTATCACTAAAAGTGATTAATACCCCCACAAGACAGTGCTTCGGAAATGAGGATGTGTTACTAGTAACAGAATACCTTGTAAAAGAATTGAAATATAAAGTTATGGTTGTGGGCAATTAAAGATAGTTGTGGTTCTTGTATGTTGCATTTCCTGTCAATGTGGTTGGCCATTGATGAAGTATTATTGAATTACCATGTAATAAGTCCAGAAAGACAAGGAAAAGGAACAAAGGGCAATAACTCTATAAATACTGACGATGGAGTTATAGTTCTTGTGCACTGCACTTCCTCTTATTGTGCTTGACCATTGTATGAAGTTGTTTTGAATTCCAACCAGTACCTTTTAAGTTATGCTCCGGACAAGGAAAAGTATCAAAGGACAGTAACTCTGTATTTTGTCAAAATGGAGTTATGGCTCTTGTGCACTGCACTTCCTTTTAATGTCCTTGACAACTGTATGAAGTTGTATTGAATTCCAAACAGTAATTTTCAAGTGATGCTCTGGACAAGGAAAAGTAACAAAGGGCAATAACTCTGTAATTAGTCAAGATGGAGTTATGGTTCTTGTGCACTGCACTTCCTCTCAATGTGCTTGACCATTGTATGAAGTAATATTGAATTCCAACCATTAGTCTTCAAGTTATGGTCCGGACAAAAAAGCAATGGAAAAGTAACAAAGGGCAATAACTCTGTAATTAGTCAAGATGGAGTTATGGTTCTTGTGCACAGCACTTCCCCTAATTGTGCTTGACCATTGTATGAAGTTGTTTTGAATTCCAACCAGTAGTTTTCATGTCATGCTCTGGACAAGGAAAAGTAACAAAGGGCAATAACTCTGTAATAAGTCAAGATGGAGTTATGGTTCTTGAGCACTGCACTTCCTCTGAATGTGTTTGACCATTGTATGAAATTATAATGAATTCCAACAATTAGTCTTCAAGTTATGGTCCGGACAAAAGAATGCAATAGAAAAGTAACAAAGAGCAATAACTCTGTAATTACTTTAGATAGAGTTATGGTTCTTGTGCACTGCACTTCCCCTTATTGTGTTTGACAATTGTATGAAGTTGTTTTTAATTCCAACCAGTAGTTTTCAAGTTATGCCCCGGACAAGCAAAAGTAACAAAGGGCAATAACTCTGTAATTAGTCAAGATAGAGTTATGGTTCCTGTGCACGGCACTTCTTCTCAATGTGCTTGACCATTGTATGAAGTAATAAAGTTATAATGAATTCCAACCATTAGTCTTCAAGTTATGGTCTGGACAAAAGAAAGCAATGGAAAAGTAACAAAGGGCAATACCTCTGTAATTACATTAGATAGAGTTATGGTTCTTGTGCACTGCACTTCCCCTTATTGTGTTTGACAATTGTATGAAGTCGTTTTTAATTCCAGCCAGTAGTTTTCAAGTTATGCCCCATGACAAGGAAAAGTAACAAAGGGCAATAACTCTGTAATTAGTCAAGATAGAGTTATGGTTCTTGTGCACTGCACTTCCTCTTAATGTGCTTGACCATTGTATGTAGTTATATTGAATTCCAATCATTAGTCTTCAAATTATGCTCCGGACAAGGAAAACGCTACGGACGTCTGGACCGACCGACCAACCAACCGACCACCGGGTGACTCCTATATACCCCCCCAAACTTTGTTTTTGGGGGTATAAATATGACTTTCAATTAATTTAGTTTTAGTATCGATATTTCTAAATTAAGTTTTGTATATCTTTCTGTTTAAAGTGCCCCAGCTATTTAAATTTTAAGTTTTAAGATTTCTGGACCTCAGTGGAGTTCCTTTAACTGTGCTTGCTAATTAGAAAGATTTAGAGAGAAATGGTAATATTGTTGATAATGATTTACCTTAACTATAAACTGTATTTTATAGAATGGATATTTTCTGCTTTGAATTTGGAAATGTCTGTAAAGAGTGTAATTAAGGGAATACAATATCAAAATATCAAATTTAAGCATCCAACACTTTGCAAAGACTGCACTGACTATCTTAAAAACTGATAGCTAGAACTTCACATCCTTGAAAAAACAAGAGTGATTTGCCTTTAACCTGGCCAGCCAGCAGTCATCCCTGTAGTCTGACCAGTCTTTACACTGGAAATAACTTGATCACTTTTTGTAATGCAAAATTAAAATCCTACGGCAAATGCATAACACAAATTTGGCAGGTTGAAGCAGAAAGCTACGAAGGTCATCAATGTTTATTGTGTGTACAGTTAGTGACCTAAATTTGAAATATTTTAAAAACTGTTAAACAAGTACAATAGATATTGAAACCTGTTAAATATAGGTCACAAAACTGTGAAATAAAATATTCTCTATCGTAAAACCTCAATACACTGGT